CTCAACATAGAGATAATTTTAAAACCAAAAGCGTGTCAATCAATGTTTTTAAATATATTAATTTCATTCATAAAAAAATCATTAAAAATCAAAATATATCAAACACTGAAGGAAAAGAGTGCTGATAGAAGGAAAAAATCCATTAATATCTGCCCCTTATTAAAAAATAGCTACAAACAAACAACTTAAACTTGACCAATCTCTAAATTTGAAAAAAAAAAAATAGCCTATATTAAAAAACACAAAAACATCATGCATCCTTCATATCCTACACTATTATACTTTCCCAATTAGTTTAATAATCATATTTTTAAACATTGTTTTAGAAGTTTCTGTTTTAATATCAAGACAATTTCACAAAACTGAATGAAATGGAGGTTTTACAAAAATCTCCATTCCCTTAAAGTTATGGTGACTTTCTCTTTGAACAAATTTTAATAGACCATTTAAAGGTAATATTTTTGGGCTTTACACTTGACTTGTAAAATACTATATTCAACCAAATCACACAATTTAAATAATTTCAGCTGATAAGGTATGAAATAATATGTTTTTTTGGTGACCATAAACCTTTCTACTAATAATTCTTATAGCTCTTTTTTTTGGTGTAATTGGTTTAACAATCCCTTGTGTGATTTTTTTTTTCAAAAGTAGTTGAAGCTCAAAAACATTGTAGAACTTTCTCTAAATTTTTTGTTGTTGTACAATTTTTTTTCATGCAAAACTTAAGCACTCCAATCAAACATTTACTGAACAGACCAAAATCTATTTTCTTTTTCCGGAACAAACCAGAAATACAGGACATAAAGAGGAAAAGTATTCATTTGCATAATTTAATGAGAAAAAAAAGGACACAGAATGAAAGCTGGCAGCTGATGTAAACTCCGAGTGCTTTCAGGTGGTTAATTACAGCTCCAGACAATAGAAACAAAGGATTCATTACATCTAGCTGCAGTTAGCTCAGCCAAAGTGGAGCCTGAATGAAGGACTTAGCACATTCCAAGGTCAATCAAAAAGAAGACAAGCATGTGAGCAGTGATCATAGGGGTGTGTGAGTGTGTATGAGCGTGTCTGGGGGGGACATAAGCCTAGGAGGGATCTCTAAAAGCTTTCCCTCCCAGGAGGGTTAACCCGGCGAAGGAAGGAGCATTGAAATCCATGATCTGAGCAATCGTTTTGTAGATCTTAAAACAGTTTTTGAAGCAGGGCTTTCCCTCACATTATTTGCATTTCATTTGGAAGAACAAACTGTGTTCGCAGCTGGATGTGAGGTGCGTCATGTGGTCAAGTGCTTCTGTGAAAAACTGACGATGACAGACAGACACACACACACTGTTGCAAGACTGGCAGCTGTAATAGTCCCAAAATTAACATATAAATGTTTCAGGGAGAAAAAAAAAAAGCCCCAGCTGAAAAACTCATCAGTGTCTCTCTATGTCTGTAATTTCCTGCACTGTTTGCTTCTGTTCTGCCATGTAAGTATGAAATAAAAGTCTGGCTGTTCACTTTGTCTCTTTATTAAAAGTGCCTGTCAGATTAGCTTGTAATTGTTTTCACTTGTCACTCAAGGAAAGGTCTTCACCGTCACATTCCAATGGTTTTACAACTATCAATGACATTTATTAAAGGGGTACTTCAGGTGTTTTGAGGTGGGAATGTGAAAAGGTTATGAATAATTAATATTATAACCTCCATTCGGAAAAAATAGGGTTTGGCTCTGACCAGAATGACAAGTTAACGACAAAGCAAAGATGAAAGTGAATTGTTGCCATCTCAAAATAGCTCCTACTGATAAATTTCGTAGTGTTTTATGCTAACCTTATTTTATAAACCTTTTCATTGCTTTCAACATTATTTAGGCAGAATACTCAAATATTGTCATTTCAGCTAGTGGTTGCGATCATCATTATTAGCACTTCAACGAAGATGCAACAACCTGGTAGTGTCAGCTTTAACACGTCCTCATAAACACTGAAAAGTAACACTAAATGTGAAATAAATAATAAAAAAAATAAAAAGCAAAAGTAAGTTTTATTCACTGTTGAGTTGTGGTGGAATTCTGAACAGGGACAGCCACAGTTCCTCCCACTTTCTGACAGGGAATTCCCTTTGTTTCTAGTTTKAATTTACAAATTGCAAGTGGGAAATTCCCACTTCCCAGTACAACTGCGCCACAGCAAAAGTAGCTGGCAAAAATGCAGCTAAATTGAGAATTTCACTGGTTGCCAGCTGCTTTTGAACCCTGTGCACTTCCACCTAGTGGTGGGATGCTGTCATTTTACGTGCAAAATAATCCAAATGCATTATGGGAGATGCAGTTTATGGTCAATGCTGGCTTTAAAGCAGCATAAAATGCCATGGCAGGCCACGTTGGGCCCAGGGGCCTTGAGTTTGACACATGGTACAAAACAAAACTGACAGCAATGGAAATGTGTAAAAGCAATACTTTTTAAATGAACTGCATTTAACTTTTCTTTACACAATAATTTATATATTTCTAGAATTTTTTAAAAGTGCTAATTACAGCAGCAGCCAGTAGGAGCACTTCTGGTGCAGCCCTTTCTGTAGGAATATCATATTTATCCAAATAGCCAAAAATGACAGCAGTAAAGGTTTATAAAATATTGTTTTAATGAACTGCTTTGAGATTTTTTGAGGATAAGTTTGCCACAATCCACTTTGGTCTCAGCTGTGCTCAGATTAGCCATTAGCCTGTCATTCTGGTCAGAATTAAACTCTAAGCTGAGGCCGTTCAAAACACCATCTACAACAGGTAAGATATTGTTTATAATCTTCTCGCCTTATCTTCACACTTCAAAAATTAGTTGAATTATTAAAGCTTTTATGTGACCCCAATGTGACTGTACTTGTTTAAGCACTCTGCTTTCAGAAGCATTTGATCATCTAAAACACAAAAACAAGGCAAAAAATACTATTTTATTGTCAAAAATGCTCACATTACACACATACTGCTCTGGCTTATGTGACTACACACCGAGTTTTTCTCAGTGAAAGCGTACAGATCCTTGAAATGAAGGAAATACAAACAGACATTTTTAATGGTAAAACTGATGTTAATCATTCCCTAAGTCTAGTTGAATCAATACTTGCTCATTTAGATCGGCTACATTTGCAAAATATTCATAAAAATCGCACAACATGTAAACAGAAAAAATAATTATTTAGACATCAGAGGTGAGTCGTTTATGTCTTGGTTTGGATGAAGTGAAAGAATTTTGTTTCTTCTTGTCCTGTTTTATGAAGCTGGTTCTTTGTTCGATTCTGGTCTGAGTTTGGGATTTTGTTTCACTTTTTCTTGTTCACAATGTTGTTGCAAATCCAGTTCATGCCATCCTGTTAAAAACAAATAGAACATCAAAAATTGTGATGTATAGACTGAGACAATCTGGGAGCAGAAGCATCTAAACTATAAGCCAAGATGTTACAGAGAGAAATTCAAATTGATTTTTGCTGGGMTTTTTTTTCCTCCAGCAGAAACTCCTCTGCAGCTAATGAGCCCCCATCTGAAAGGGAATTAACTAAAGGAGTGTTGGTTCTGACCTGAACTCCCTCCCCAGACACAGCTGAGCAGGCCTGGATCTGCCACTGGCGGTCTCGGTACGTGTGCAGGTTGAGTCCCTCGGCGATCTCGCTGGCCGGCGACGCCGTGGCCAGATCCTGCTTATTAGCAAAAATGAGAACCGGAACGCCCTTTAAGTTCTCCTCATCGATCAGCTCGGACAGCTCCTGCACAGAATACCTGCTGTTAGTGGTGGGCACATTATGGGAGGTCAATTAAATGAGAACATTGTTCCAATGAGGAGTTTTTTTTTAATATCTTTTTATATTTTTATAGAGTTTGTGTTTAAATACCATCATGTGGTTTTAAAGTTTGTCTTGGTTTTGCTTTCATATTTTATCTCCACAGTTTCTTATTCATTGTTATTTAGAAATCAACTTACTCCCAGTTCCTTAATTACATCCACTTTTTATTGGCTGCCATAGAAGGTTAGCAGCAATAAGACTTTTTCTCATCTGTTTGTTTGTCTGTACTGTTAGCAAAATATCTCATGAATGACAATTACACATACAGTTATTTAATGTCTGGTGTTAATTTTACAGGTATTGAGATTATTTTTGGTAAATCAGATTAACAGTTCATGTCTCGTAAGTTTCAAATGACTGTGTTTATTTAAAAAAATAAACAAAATATGCCTCAATATGGATAAAAAAGACAAATTGGAGAATTTTTTAAATGTTATTTAAAGAAACAAAAC